GGGGGGGGGGGGGCGATCGCCTCATATACCCCCCCTCATATACGCCACTGACTAAAAACCTCGTCATTTTTTTCTTCATTGTGAGTGGTATCCATTTCTTGAACCTCAGTGACGTTGGAAGTCGATCTATTAATTTAAAATAATATAAATAAAATATTCATAACATTTTAAAATTGTTTTTGTTTTTAATTCTGTTTATTTTAGTGTGGGTATTTATTTTTTCATAACTAGTTATTTTTATTATTTATATTATTATATCCAATAGGATTACAACTGTTTTGTTTTTAAGTTTTTATAGGATAAATAAAATAAAGTAGTGTTTTGGGGTCTGATAGATTATCTTTTTGAGGGTACTAAAATATTTTAAGTTGACAGAATTTGAAAATAATTTTGCTTCTATTATACATTTAACAATTAATTATCAAAAAATATTTTTTTTTAATTTTAACAACACAAACTACCATCATATTAGTATTTCAATTTTTATTTAAAATTTTGAAAATTCATATTTTGCTGTGATATTTATCCTGCTGCCACATGTTCTTGCAGGTCGAATCACGGTAGCGACAGGCGCTCCCAAGTCAAATCGACTATGGTGTCTACGTGTTTTGGTATTGATAAACATTTATAAAAAAAAACTAAAATAAGTATAATATTTAAAATGCCTATAATAAGCTTGAAAATTATTTGAATAATATGTTACTATAATCAATTGATATTCAATGCTTATAAATAAAAAATTGTGTTTTCGATCTTTGATTTTTTTTTTATAATGGTGATAAGTACAACTTATGATAAATCTTGTATACAATTTTTAAAATTTTTTTTATCGAGATTTTAAAATAAAAACTATGAAAAATCAAAAATTTCTATTGTTCATAAACAGCACAAAAAGTTTCAAAACCTTTCAAAAGTGATAACATGTATAGATGCCAATATAAACATTTGTTGAAAATTTAAATTATCTAAAGTCAAGTTCTATTTGGCTGAGAAACAGCCAAATAAAAAAATCGATTTTGTCGAAAACTGAGCCAAGTAAAATGTATATGTACACAGGGGGCGTCATTAGGGGGGGGGGGGGTTAAAAGTACTTACACATAGTTTGTCAAAAGTAGTAACAATATTGTGATATTTTCATACTAATATAATAGTGACATATTAAATAAATTATACAAATATTCTACAGTTTTTATCCTCACTCGATCCCCCCCCCCCTCAAAAATTTTTTTGATGTGGCCTGGTGATGATTTGAATGGCCTACAAACATTTTGGTACCAACAAAAAAAATTTGAAATGATGCCCCCTGTATGTACGTTACATTGTTACTCTCTTGAACTTTTATGAATTCAAATATTTAATAATGTGTATAAATCGGGTTAAAACAAAATACCTATTATTACTTACGCTCGCTCATATTCAACTCGATCCAAAAAACTAAGGTGAGGTGCCAAGTTCCATTTTTTTTTAGTCGCTGCTGATCCTGTTCCCGGCTTTCTCTTGTTTCTGGAATATGAATCGCGAATGTTCTTCCAGCGCTTTTTTGTATCGTCTACTAAATTATAAAATTGGGTTCAAGTAATTACATTAAAATTTAAAATTTTTTTAATAATCGAAAATATTTGAAATTATTTATTTACCAGATTTTCCAATCTTGAGGGATATTTCCTTCCAGATATTATCCTTCATAATAATGTTTTTGTAATTAGCATCGGCCAAATCATACAAAATAGAATTGGCCTGTACTTCTTCAATAAGAATTTCATCCTCCGATGGAGAAAATACTAATTTTGACGCCATAATATTATGATAAATTTGTACAAATACGACAAATAAACGAAAAATATGACGACAAATAAAAATTAAAAACAATTAATATGACCATAGGGTCGTCACGTCGTGTCGCGCGGTACTGCTTCATGAGCAGTAGTGTCGTCGGTCGCGGCGACCCAAAGTTCAGTCGCCACGACCTGTCGCGTCTTGCAAAACAGTTGATACTATTTTCCTATAAGCAGATATTGACGACATGTCGCGGCGACAGGTGGCAGCGACATGTCGCGCCTTGGAAAACGTACCTTAAGAGGTACCTATTAATATCAAAAAAGTCAAAATATTATTTAAATTATACTAGGTATGTAAAGAAAATACAAATTTTTTTGAGTA